GCCTCAGGCTACCCTGTGCCCAATGAGTCCTGGTAAGGGGGGATGCACAGGGGCTCTTGGGGGCCAGGACTCCTGGTGGCTAAGACTCCACACAGCCATCCAGGGGGAGTGGGGCCATTTTACTCTTGGCTCTGTGTTTGTTATTCCATGTCACAGCCTTATCATAAACATTATCCTAGAGTGGATCACTAAGGCTCCATGCACGGAAGATTTGTTGTTCTAAGGTAGCTGAGAGTAGAATGCACAGAGGCCGGAGGAATTCTGGGAGGTGGAGAGGGAGGCAGAAGTCAGGGTGGTACTTCATTCTAAACCTCTGTCACCCTTGTGTGAAGGTCAATGGTATGTCTGCCTTCCCCATGAGTTCCATGTGCCTGGAAACAAACTCATACTATTCCACCACACTCAGGTCCCCACTGAGAAGTGGCTGAAAATCAAGTATGATGAAGGAGGAATGAAGGAAGGAATGAATAATGTGTGTAGCTTCCCTCTGCTTGTTGGAATCACCAAGAATGCTCACAAAGAGAGCCTATTGCTTGAAGTCCTGTTCAAGGGCAGCTGGTATAGAACCAGACAGTTGGAATTACAACCCCAGATCTAAATTTGCCAGCCACATGGCCTGCCACTCTCTCTTCTTGTCTGTCCCATCTGTACATCCCTCCCAGAGAGAGCAGAGGAAAGCCCCTTTGGACCATGGGAAACTAAAAGGATGGGTTCTAGGGCTGGCCCAAATGCCCTTCTCACATCTCCAGCTTTGTCACCTTGGAAAGATACTTAATGTTTCCCTGCTGTGGGTTTCCCATTCTAGTCTTACCTCGGAGCTGCTATAAAGATTTAGTAATGAATCTTCTTGGAAAGTTCATGATATATACTTAGTGGCCCATAAATCCAGGGGTCCTAGAAATGAATGGGTAATGGCTTCTTTATGAATTATGAAGAGTGGGTACAGAGCAGGAAGCCTGGGGCAGAGAGCACAGGACTCAGGTCAGCAGCCGTCCTTTTGCAGTATCTTCTGAGTAACTTGCTATTGGTGACACCAGGGTTCAATAGTGAACAGATAGCAGCGCACTGGGTCACTCAATAGGATATGTGTCTCTAAAGTGGCACAGGGAGTCTGTAAGAGTCTTCCTAGAAGCCACAGGAAGATACAGTGTTACAAGTTGAGACACAAGGGAGTTCTCAGACAGCCTGGCCTTAGCCTCTTGCCTGTAACACGCCAACAACAAATGCTTCTGGCTGCTGCACAATAATCCTGAGAAGAGAGTGGGCATGGCTGTACCAGTGGGCATCTGGAGGTCTTACCTCATCAGTCTTATGGCCCAAGGCTGGAAGGTAGGACCCTTGGGTAAAGCCCCCTCTGCCCAGTTCACTGTGGGCCTCATGCAAGCCTCATCCTAGTCACCTGTCTCCTCTTTTACATGATGAGGGCACAGGATGAGACCAGTGGTCCTTAAACTGGGCTCCAGGGTCCCGGCTGGAGGCTCTGCTGGGGAGAGTCGGGGAGGGGAACACTGAGTCCCAGCCTGCCTCCCTTACATCAGCCAGAGGCCTTTCCATTTTTGTCTCACCACATTTGGAGTTCCAAGTAGGATTCATTTGGAAAATAACAACAACAAAAGATTCCATGGCCAAAAAGTGTCTGAAGACTCTGGATCAAATGAGATCTAGGGACCCTCCCAGAGCCAAGTTAGGAAGGTTTGGTGCTAAATGTTTTCTCCTAAGTTTTATTTTATGAGCACATAGCACTCATTCCATGCCAGGACTGTTCTTAACACCCTGCAGATTGTAATATACTTAATCCCTTGGAACACCTCCCAGCTGCGTGAGGGCCACATCATTGCAGACCTGACTTCATGAGTCAAGCGGGGTCCAAGGGAGCCATTTACCCTCCAGCTAGGTCTTCTGGCGCCCAGGCAGATGACTTCACCCCAAGTCAGGTGGTGCCTTGGCCACGCTGATCTGAGAAGCAACAGGGCAGGTGTGTACAGCAGCTGGGTGTGGTCATTAGAAGTTTGTGTGTTGTGAGCTCTCAGAGGAGGAGAGAGGAACAGCTTGACACGGACACTTTCATCTGAGGCATGTGCTATGTGGGAGGAAGTGCCTGTTGTCTTAGCAATGTCCACAGCAACAAGGCCACTACCCCCTGTAATCCATCCCCAGCCACCACACTGCCATCAACACCCTGCACCAGATGGCTGCAGATCTGATTTCAGTAGTGGAGACCAGAGCTCAGGGACCCAGAGAAGGCCAAGAGGTGAGATAAGGAGGTCTGACCTCACCTCCAGCCAGCTCATTAGGGGAGCAGTTGGGGTTGTTGCATCTTGTACAATCCAGCTCTCCTGTCATTTACAAACATGGAGGAGACACAAGCTTGGCCCTGTTGTCCATGACACCAAGTTGGTCTGGCCCTGCACATCTATTTCAAGAGCTTTTTATTCTGATTGGATGTCTTAGTGGGAACTAGAACTCCTGCCAGAGTTCCAGAGGCTTCTCTTAAAGGCATATAAAGCACCCTTGAACTATAAAGGAAACATAGCAGGTGTCTAGGTTCTAAAGAGAAACAGAGATAGCTCTACTCTCTCTTCCCCCAGGCACAATGTTGAGTGCTGCAGGCATCCCTATTGGGCAACCCCTTCAGAGGATGGTGTGATAAGAATAGGAGGTAGGAATTGGCTAGGCAGTTAAGGCAAAAAGACCCCAAAGAAATGTAGCCAGTTTCTTGGCTAAAAGTCAAAATGCCCTTGGGCCTGTTAGCAACATATTCTGTTCCAAAGGCCAAAAATGTCAAAAGTATTTGGGAGCCTGTATCTAATCCTTAAAAGATTTTAGGGTTACCTCTTCAGAGGGGAGGAATGTTGGAGGGGAGGAAGTGGGCATGGATTTGATCAAAACACCTTATATACATGTATGAAACTCTTAATAAAGTTTTTGTAAAAATTCAAAAAAAAAAAAGAAACACGGGAAAAAAAGAAAAGAGTCAGTAAGGTGTGCTGTCTGTCTTCAGGAAGCTCATAGCCCCTGCATGGCTGGCAGCTAAACACAATGCAAAGCCAGTATGCACACCCTGGCGGAAGGAAGTATATCGTATCAGTCATCTGTCACCAAGATGTGCTGTGTAAAGATAGCACACAGGGCTCAGGGGGCCAGGACCAGTTGCTAGTAAGCTCTGCTGATCTTGTCTGGGAGTTGGCTGCCTGTCCACTGGTCTGGATGGTGTTGGCTATGTCAGTTCTGCTCTGTGTACTCTAGCCATCTAACAGGCTGGCCTGGCAGCTTGAGCCAAAACCAAAAGGTATATGAGGGGCCAACAGCCAGAGCACCAGGACCTTTCCAGGCCTTCCTTTGTGACAATCACTGATATTCCACTTGTTGGAGCAAGTTCAGAATCAGTAAGGGAGGCAGCAACAAAGTTCCTAGAGAAAGGGCTTGGATGCAGGAAGGGGTTAGGCTTTGGGCCGAAGAGCATGAGAGCTATAAGGAAAGGTCGGATTCATCCAGCATCAGGCACACAGAGAAGTTCTATGGAGAAGAACCTGGATGGAGTCTGGATAACCAAATCTGAGTTGGCAATGGAGTTTGAGAATAGAAGACAGGTTTTTTCTAGCTTATGGAACATCACGTACAGAGGCACGAACTCTGAAGACTGCTTGGTTTGTAAGAATGCTGAGTGTTTTAATATTTGGGGGTGTGACAGCCCTGTAAGAAATTAAGTTATTAACTACAACACAGTCCAGATTACTGCTTAGAGACAGTCGGCCCCTTCACCTGAGGGCAACAGGAACCCTGAAGACTTTTAGCCAAGAAAAGAAAGAGCCAGACCACCAGATTTTCCCCTAACGATGACCATAAGAGAAGAACATAGGAGCACTGAGAGGCAATGTTGCAGTGGTCCCAGAGATAGATGCTTGGGCCTGAATGGCTATGTACGAAGGGTCTGGAGGATTGTCCCTAAAACATGTGCAAGCTCATAGAGCAGGGCCCGGGGACTAGAGGCACAAGCTAGGCAGGGAAAGAGGCCTCAGATCACCTCCTGATGTCCGCACAGATGTTCTCTCCATCTGTGCTAAGCAGCTCCTCTGAGGAGCAGGTTCCTCCTTCTGGTTGGGCAAAGGAGTCTGGGTTACCTTGTGATCCTGACTCTAGTTCAAGCCATGTGAGTAAGGCACTTTCCACTCCTTAGGCCTCAGTTTCCCCTCTAAAATTGAGGTATGGTGGTCTATACCCATAATCCCAGCCCACGGGAAGTAAAAACAGGAGAACTTTGAATTCGAAGCAGCTGAGGACACATAGTGAGAACCTGTCTCAAACAAATAAATACTATACAATGCAAAGTCTGAAGTGGAAAATCACACAGGGCCTGTGTGTGAGTCCCCCTGTGCTCTGTGGGGGCCATGATTCTCAAGTGCCACAAGCAGTCATTCTGCTCAGAAAGTGTCTGGGGGCCTATTGGAAACATTCTGATTCCAGAGGTGACTTCCACACAATACTCTGGCTGACCTTGATGCCTAGCAGCTGCATCCCCAGAGCCAGGCAAAGTGTCCCAGAAGACAGAGGAACCTGAGGGCTCATTTGCTTGAATGTAAGGGCAGGTGGGCTCCAAACCCGAGCTCTTCCAGTCCTCTGGGCCTTGACATAAATCAGGGCTTTTTCCTTGCTTTTGCCATATTTGGGCTGCTGTCGATTATAGAATGAGTCGCTTGTTCTAGAACACTTCTAAGCACAGGACCACAAATGAGTCAAGAGGAAAATTTGCCCCAAACCCCAAACCCAGATCATTCGTCATGTCATGTGTGTAGGTAAAAGCCAGGAAAGAGAGCACCCAGGTGCTCAAGGCAGTGGGTCAGGAGCAGGAAGTGTGGCCATGTTCCCCGAGACAGCTGCAACTGTGCCCCAGGTATCTTCTATTTCATGCCCATAGCCCTAAAGTCCTGAGGGTGCCAGTCAGTCCCAGAGGCCAGCCAGTCCCTGAGCACAGCCCTGATGCCCTCTCTTTCCTCGGCCAGGTGCTGTTTGCCCTGAACCAGACCCTGCTGCAGCACGAGAGCGTGCGGGCTGGGAGCCTGCAGGCACCCTACACCACGGAGGACCTCATCAAACACTACAACTGCGGGGACCTCAACACCGTCATCTTCAACCATGACACGTCCCAGGTGAGGCCCCTCCTCAACTCTTACCCTGTTAGCCTCTGGGTTACCAGTTGCGAAGACGTGGAGCTAGGCCCATATGACCTCACCTGGTATTTATTAGATTCCTACTATGTACCAATATAGACCAGTTCCTCTCCAGCTGTGATAAACAGAAATTATTGTTATCCCCTTTATAAAGAGGGAAACTGAGGCTCAGAGAAGGCAAGAGACTTGCTCAGTACCACTGTGCTAGATAGCTTTAGTTGTCAACATACTTGGGTAGAGGAAGCCTCAACTGGGGAACTGCCTTCATTGGACTGGCCTGTGGCCATGTCTGTGGGGTATTTTCTTGATTTTTTTTGAGTGATGTGGGAGATCCCAGCCCACTGTGGGTGGTATCACCCCTGGGCAGGTGGTCCTGTATTGTATAAGAAAGCAGGCTGAGCATGGACCAGGGGAGCAAGCCGATAAGCAGCGTTCCTCCATGGCCTGTGCTTCAGCTCCTGCCTCCAGTTTCCTGCCTTGAGTTCCTACCTTGGGCTCCCTCAGTGATGAACTGTGACCTGGGAGATGTAAGCTAAGTAAACCCTTTCCTCCCTATTTAAAAAGAGCCAAACAGTTTATTGGTTGTTGAATCATCAAAACCAGCAATTTAAACCAGGTCTGCATGGCTCTGGGGCACAGAATACTGAAAGCTAAGCCTAAAAGACCAGGGAGGCTTCTGAGGGGTTCCAGTCAACATCTGGGGAAAAGAAGGCTCATGGAAGGGAAAGAACAGTTACTCTGAGCTTCCAGTTCCCTGCTTCACAGACATTGCTGTAGAGACAAGTAGAACTTATAATAGTTTGTCTCTGAGACTTTATTCAGGCTCCTCTTTCTCTAGATTACCCTAACAACTTAGTTATGGTCAACGTTGCCTCCTATGAGAAACCTCTCCAAACCCTTGGGTGGAATCAAGTATTTCCCCAGGTGTCTCTGATGCCTCCAGGGTTTTCTTTGTCTTGGTACTTGAAAGTCTATCCACTCAGGAAACCTTGAGTTAGACAAAGGATGCCACGTCCCTGCTCTGAACCCTGCGTGGGCTTCCCATTTTCTCAGGATAAAGGCTAGTCTCTGCAGTGGCCTGCATGTTCTTGTTTCACTCCTGCTGCAACCCCATCTCCTACATACACCCCAGCAGTACAGTCCTCTGTGCCATCCACCTCTGCCTTCTCACTGGCTGTTCACTCTGCACTGGTGCTTTCCCCAGGTGCACTACCCCTCCATCTTCAAACATCACCATTTCAATGAGGTTGACCCCATCCACCTTGTCTGAACTGTAGCTGACCAACCCCTTAAATCTCTTATCCTTTTATTATGCCCCACTTTGCTCCCATGGGCTGGACTACCCTCCAACACAATATATACTCAGCGCATTCATTGCTGACTGCCTGCTGTGGTCCTCCCCGCTAGAACAGCTCCATGAGGACAGGATTTGGATTTGTCTTATATTGCCTACCTGCCCAGAGTTGTACCTGGCCTGGAGCAAGGCTCTGTAAATATTTGCTAAGTAAATGAAATAGTTTGTGTGTGGCACCATGCCATGCAAAGGGATACGGTAGGGAGCCAAGGAGGACAGCCCTTGTGAGGCTTATCCTCTTGCAGGGAGCCTGAAAGACAAGGGAAATCAATGTCTCATAGTGCAAGCCTTGTTCTGGGGACAGAAGAGGTGTGGCTAGAACCTGCGGCAGGAGTCATTCATTAGGTGCGCCTTGGGCTGGAGTAATGAAGAAGGTTTCATGGAAGGTAGGGGCCACAGAAGAATATTGGTCATAGACAGAGGAGGAATGTTCCAACTGCAAGAGCAGTGTGAGTGAGCCCAAGACCCAGCAGAGGAGAAACAAAGTTTCAGTGGGAGGCTAGCCAGGCTGGGGCCAGGATGTTCTGTCTGTGCTTGCTGCCCAATCCTGAGGCACCCTGAGGGCACGGCTGAGCTGCTCATCTCTTGGGCTCTGCTTCCTAGGAGACCCCTTGGCGCCTGGTGCACAGCATATGCCAGTGAATGACTGTAATGCACAACACTATGGGCACAGGGTGTGCTGGAGCAGTTTAGAAGATAGGAAAGGAAGGAGTCCAGCCCTTGCTATGGGAGGCTTCAGGTCTGAGGGCTTTAATTCCATGGTGGAGGAGGAAGGAGAAGAGATTGAGTCCACAAGGCTTGTGGGACTCTCACCAGGGACCCACTTTTGGTGAGTCTCACCCTGTATCCACTGGGAAGCAGGTTGGGGAGCTCCATAGCAGAGGGTCTCAGTTATAGCTTCATTAACTGCCTGTGATGTCACTAGCCTGGGGAGAAAGAATAGATAGGACAAGGCCTGTGACTGACCTTAAGCTGGAAAAGGGAGTCACAAGGTGACCTTGGGGATGGTAAACTCAGATTTCCTTTGCACCTGGTTCCAGAAGCACTGCTGGTCTCTGGTGGCAGCAGTCACATCTCCCAGCAGTTCTGGTACCCAAAGTAGGACAGAGTAGAAAGATTGATCCACCCAGAATTTGAATCACAGTCTGAGCTACATATGAGTGTACAGCCGAAGACTTGAGGGGGGACTAGGAAGCCTGCCCCCAAGGGACAGAAAAAGCTGCTGCCAGGGTTGCAAAGCCGAGCCCTGCCCCTTCATGTCTTGCTATGGTGGGGCTATAGATGCAGCCTGAGGCCTCAAAGTCTCAGGGACTGAGCAGCCAGCAGCTTTAGGGCTTGTCAACCTGCCACAGTCAAGGGAGGCTTCAGGGTGACCATGAAATGAGAACTAAGCTTATAAGTGGAGTCTCTCAGGTGAGAATGATAGCTGACAGGAAGGGCTGGTTAGAGAGGTAGGATGGTGGTATAGTTTGCAGAGCAGTTGACAAGCCTGTAGGGTGAGGATGCTGTGAGGACTGGAAGCCTGAGGGAGTGCCAGCCAGGAGACATTCTGGTCAGAAAGATGCCTCTGGCTGCATCTGGGAAGATAATAAAGTGACCTTTGGCAGCCAGGATGGAACAGGTGCAGAACCTGAGTCCCAGTGTTCCTCCGCCGTAACTGCCTCCCTCCCAGCTCCACCAACCCCACCCTCAGCAATGACCATGCCCTGGCTCAGCACTGTAGGCCACTGACACTGTTAGTGTCTCATAATGGGAAAGCTACCCAGAGACCTTCCCTGGGAAGCCTGGGCTTCCTGCTCCTAACCTCCTGAGGGGCACCATAACTACATATATATATATATATATCTTATCCAAACCCAGATACTTTTAAAAGTATTTTTTTATTTTATGTGTATGAGTGTGTTGTCTGCTTTTATGTAAGTATACCAGTGACATGCTATGCTGACAGAGGTCAGAAGATGGTGTTGGATTCCCTGGAATCCCCATAACTCCTAGAACTGGAGTTATGGACTGTTGTTAGCTGTCATGTGGGTGCTGGAAATCAAACCGGAGTCCTCTGCAGGAACAGCCAGTGCTCTTAGCCGCTGAGTCATGGCTCCAGCCCCCAAACCAGATATGTTTGGCAGTGGAATACAATTCAGAGTCAAAATAATTAACAAGTATGCATCAATTACCTCTAGCCACACACCTAGACTGACCTGGGGAAAAAAAAAATACCACATGGTCACCCTGTCAGGGGCCCTGTGAGTCATGCCTCCCTCCCTGCCCTCTCCAATACACATCCCACGGTGTTCTTATAGGTACAACTGAGTAAGTAGCCCATGGGCAGGAAACCTCATGAGGAACAGTAGTGGACCCAGCCTGAGGGTGCTGGGTAGTCTTTAGCCTACACAGAGCAGGACCTGTAGGGGTTATCAGAGGGCATCTCCCAGGTGGATCATTACAAGGAAGGTGGTGGTTGAATGTCATCAGCAGACCTTGGTAACTGGCCAGCTCTAGATATAGGTGAGGAGCGCCTGCACTGAAGCCCTCCCCCAGGCTTCACCCCGTCCTACCCAGTCCATCTCCTTGTCATCCCATAGCACACTAATCTCCCTAGGGCTCTGGGGACGGTCTATACTCTCTTCAAAATGTTATCATACGTCCTGCAGTTAAACCTATCATGGGAGATTTAAGGCCTGAACAAGTCCAGTGATGCCATTAATTTGCTTCTCTCCCAGCCCTGGCCCAAACCCAGGCCCCATCCTTGGCATGGAGCCAAGACCCATCAATATGAGATACTCAGAGAGTGCTGGCCTGTGGCTAGGCAGTCTAGGAAGCTCAGCATTCAGCTCCTTCATGGCTTTGAAATTTCACTCTTTCTTGTCCTTGTAAATAGTTTTAGTTCCCTGGGGAATGAAAGGAGCCACATCTTTGCGCCAGTGCACTGAGCAGGAAGCAGAGGGGAAAGGCCACATGTCCAGGACCCCTGGGAGAGGGAAGGGAAGCAGAACTCTGCCTCCACAGCAATCTGGAGGCCACTAGTAACCTGTGACATCACAGGGGAAGGTGACAAAGCTGGGCTAAGTGCAACTCAAGATGTCCTTTGTGCCTTGCACTGTGCTGGCCTTTCCCAAAGCTGGTCTCATTGAATCTGTGCAACAGTATATATTTCCCCATTACCACCAGGGAACCTGAGACTCACAAAGTGAGCATCGGGCAGCGAAAGGGGAATGGTAACATGAGCTCTGCTGACTATGTGACCCCAGAGCCTGTGCTCATAAGCACTCTTCCTCAACTGCCACTCAGCCCACTCATTCACTTGCTTGTTCATTGATTGAACAAGTACTTGTGCATGACCTCCTATTCTCTCCCATATCCCAGAAATAGAGAGAAGCTCTGAGGGCGTGTTTCTAGAAATAGCCCCTCCAGTTGTGGCCTCTCTGTTCTCTGCCTGACTCAAAAGTCTTTGGTGTTTTCTATAACCGCATCAAGTCAAATGTAACCTATTTCAACAAGGCTGCCAGTCACCCCTTGTATAGTTGAGGAGGGTAAGAACTCAGTTCCGTCATTTTTCTATTTGCCAAACAAGCAGTCCCTGGGCACCAGTTCTATGAGGACCTAGACACAAGCAGGACTGCTATGTATACTATACGTGTTGTGCACTGTTTGAGTAAAGGGCACAGCCATATCATTACCTTCTTCATCCAAGATCAGTAAGTCAGGCCTTCTGACAGAGGAGCCCCATGGTGCAGATACTCTTATCACCAATGTCATACATTGGTCCTTGCTCGGCATATCCCAGAGGCAGGTGTCCCACTCTTCTCAGAGACCCTCAGGGTTCAATCTCTTTTGAGTCCCCCATTTCTCAGAAGGAATGTTGACAATTCAACAGTGGCTAAAAAACCATACAATTAAGCTAATTGGCCCTTTTAGGGGACTAAAACCTGGTGTTTACAGGCCTGATCTCCATCAGTCTTGACTTTCAGTCAGGCCTGCTGTTTTGTGCTTTGTGCTTAGGTAGGTGGGAAATAGAAGCAGTGACATCAGGTGAGCAAGAGCTTGGAAGATGTTATGACTGGAATGGGTAAAGGGTATGTTTTGATTCACTGCCTCAGTTTCCCACCAGAAGCTCCCAGGCACGTGTTAGAGGAGATGGTGCTAGAATGAACCAGACAGATGAAATGATGTGAACACAGGACCCCGGGAGAGGCAACTGAGATTAGGAGGGGGCAATACTACCGTATGTTCGGGTTTGAGGACCTCTGATGGGCATCTTTCTTGTAGCAGGCCCTGGGGACCTGGAATGATCATAACTTCATCCCTGAACTCAGGGAGCCTTCTGCTACTTCAAGAGCACAACAGTGAGACCGTTGCTAGGCCTCAGTCTGGATGTGGAGAGTGGCAGGAGTGAGGGTAAAGGGCCCAAAGCTAGAAAGCTGGAGGATTCCTGAGCAGCTTACCCCACATGCATTAGCATGGATGGAGGTGTGATCTTTCAGTAGACATTCTCAAGAAGAGACAAAGGTCCAGCTCACATTGTGTCAAGTATGGATCCAGCTGGGCAGATGGAGGCTCAAATATGGGAAAGGCCAAAGGTGGTGCCCCTGTCATCTCTGTAGAGTACAGCCACAGCAGCACCCATTGTCTCATTTAGTGTCCACTATCACATCAGTCTGTCCTTTAAATAAGAGATCCAGGGCTCAGCAAAGTACACAGCTTGTCCAGTACACACAGCATTAGAATTGAATCTGAAGCCCATGTCACTCTAACCCCAAACTCTGTAGCCTTCCTGACACACCTGGCATCTTAGTTGACCCTCCATACCCTCTTGATGAACCAGGTTGATTGCCCAGGCCAGTGCTGAGTTCTGAAGAAAGATCAACAGGAGATGAGCATTGCCCAGCCTCCCTGGGCCTTAACATCTAGAGAGACACCAGGCAAGTTGTTATGGGACTCTAGCCACTGGGGCACATGACTCGGCTCTACCCTTCACTAGCTATGACTGCATGTGTCTTGGGATTTTTCCCACTCATGATTGCTTCACATGTAAAACTAGAGCAATGCTCACCTTTGAGGGTTTGGGGGTTGAGAAATAGGAAACACAGATCCTGCTGTAGGGCTTCAGAAAGGTAAGTTACCAGCCCCACCTAGGTTGCGTGTTTATCTGACCTGTGCCTCTGTTATCATTGCAGCTACCCAACTTCATCAACACCACTCTCCCGCCTCATGAGCAGGTGACAGCTCAAGAGATCGACAGCTACTTCCGACAGGAGCTCATCTACAAGAGGAATGAGCGCATGGGCAGGAGGGTTATGGCGTTGCTGCAAGAGAACCAGGACAAGATCTGTTTCTTTGCCTTTGGAGCAGGTTTGGCCCCGACCTCTACTTCTCAGGGGAAAACAGGGCAGGAAAACCACACAGAGTGCCCAGCAGCAGAGCTTGGACTGTTTCTGGCCAAGGGTTCTCTCGTAACAGTCCTTGTTGGCAAAAGAAGAGGCCCCTGCACAGTCCAGCATAACTTCTGTGGCCCCTTCAAGTGCCAAGTGAACACGTGAGAGCCCAGAACCAAAGGAAGCCCCTAGTGTCGATCCCAGCCCCAACCTACCTGACAGAGGAGAGCCAAGGCTAAAGACCCCATGGCCCAGAGGAAGGGATGGACTCTGACAGCCAATAGTTCTGGCCTCAGATACAGCCATGCCATGTGCCATGTCACCCTAGCTAGTACCTTCTCAAGGGCTGAATTCTCTCCTGTTAATGGAGCGAAATAATAACTATTTGACGAATTTAAAATATCTATGTTGTAGAACAGTTAAAAAGAGTAATAGGCATTTAAATAACCTGCCATGTAGTAGGGATCCAGAATGGCATTCATCATCATCATCATCATCATCATCATCACCACCACCACCACCACTATCATAATGAACTATAAGCATCACTATGGCAGCATAGAGCCATGAGCTAGATGTTTCCTTCTGGGGATCTTCCTCTTCCTACAAATTCTAGCTAGATATATAGTCTAGCTAGATGTATCCCTGCCCTGGCCCTTGACACATTTGGAACTGAATGAGGTGGGGAAGACACAGAGCTAAACAGTGGACAGCCCCATTATAAAGAAGGGCAGCCATGAGGACCCTTATGGGTTGGACGGATCTAGCTACAAATTCTACCTAGAATTCCAGATCTGGGCAGCCATCTTTAAGGCCCCTATTCCGTGTTTGCTCTTCCTCACAATTCTGCTGTTCTCTGTGGTTGTCTCTGTGATGGCAACACTGGGGCCAGGATATTCTATTTGACTTCTTCAATAGTCAGCTTTTGATCGGCATCTTACAATAACTTTTGCTTCTCACCATTTATTTTGAGAGAATCCATCTTGTGCTTCAGGAGATTTAAGAAACAGCTTACAGCTGGGTGTAGTAGCCCACACCTTTAATCTCAGCACTAGGAAGGCAGAGATAAACAGATCTCTGTGAGTTCCAAGCAAGCCTGGTCTACATAGAGAGTTCAAGGCCAGCCAGGGTTACATAGAAAGACCCTATCAAATAGAAAGATGGCTTAGAGATGTGCTCACCTGTCTGCTGATCTGCCCTCTCATTCCCTGGCCTACATACCCTCAAGGTCAGTCAATCCATCCAAACCACAAGTGTCCTCATGGCTGCCCTTCTTTATAATGGGGCTGTCCACTGTTTAGCTCTGTGTCTTCCCCACCCCATTCAGTACCAAATGTGTCAAAGACCAGGGCCAGGGATATATTTAGCTAGACCGTTCCCTCTTCTGAGTCCTAGTTCAGTGAAGCATATAGAAGGCACTGAGACATGGATACAGTTCCTTTGGGGACAGCTCATTAAGGCCACTGATACTGCATAGAAAGAGCTCTGGGCTTACATTGCAGCTCTACTATAGCCCATTGTGGTCTCCAGCAAGTCCCCTCCCCTCTTACAATTCACTCATCTAGATTGGAGGAGCTGATTGCTAGCTTGGACTGTCTGGGATTCCAGGCTATCTAGGATTCTGACACAGAAATAAGAAACAGATAAGGTTTCACTGGAGGGGCTTCCTGGAGGAGCCCACAGGAGCAGCTCTTTGACTGACAGACTGCGTGGTGATAGAAGGGCCACTCTCCCTCTGCAGGACACCTTCAGGAGGCCTAGTATAAGCCAAGCAGCTGTAAGGACATGTGCGGGGAAGTGGCCCCCCCAGCACCTTTCCTCCCACTCACTACCCAGCTGTCTCCAAGTGGTACATTCTATACCAAGCAGCCTTTGCTGACTAAGGAACGGCAGTCACTAGAATCACCTAGCTCCCAGGTGCCTTGGCAGACCTTGAGGGGCTGCCAGAGAGCATAGCCATTCCCCAGAGATGGAGGCCGATGAGGAAGCAGGGTGTCCCACCCGAGTGGGCCCAGAACCCAGGACCAAGGTCACCCAGCACCTGGTAATGGCTAATTAACATCAGCTCTCTACCATAGCTGAGGAAGCTGAAAGCCTAAAATTGCAAATCACAGTGGTATGGAAGGCCTTTACACTTCCCTTCTCCTGACATTCCAAGCTCATAGGGCACAAAGATCCATTCAAGCACAGTCTTCACATTAAGGCAGCTTCACAAAAGAGAACGGTGGGATAGATGTAGAAGCAGAACAGGCTCAGAAAGTCCTTACTTGATAAAATTTAAAGCTGCTAACTGTATTTAGCTGTACATTCATCTACTGTGCTTTTAGGATGGGAAAGACTTCAGCATGATAGAAGGGATGAGGGAAGGGATATTGCCAAGTCCAAGACAGCCGCTGTGACCTCCTCAAGCCCCATTGCTGAAGCTTCTGGTACAGGGAGAGAGAGGTTTCAAAAAGGCAGGAGAGGAGGGAGCAGAGCAGGGGGAGAGTTGGTCCATGGGCAGAAGAGGGTACCTCCTCAGCCTAAAGTGTGTGTAAGCAAGAAGATGATGTCTTCTAACCAGATCTCCACTCTTAGCTGGAAGGTGGAGTTAAGAAAGTGGAAGGAGTATTCCTGGTTTGAAGAATGACATGAATGAAAGAGATATTTTCACAAACTTGACCAGGACAGGAAGTTTAAGTAGATTTAACTCCTGGGCCATCTGTGATTGATTGCTAGTGGCTGCTTGGAGCATGATGCTATAAAGATCACATCCGGAGCCCAGCGGAGAAGAGTCCTGATCGACTGATCCCTGATGTCTGCTGAGAACCAGGATTCCAGCAGGTGCCTGCTATTTACTCACTCTGCTTGCTGGGAATGAAGACCCATTACCCTGTCAAGTTGTAGGTTGTTAAGATTTCTCCAGCAGTACTCAATAGCTAGGATTTAAAGGTAGACACTGTACCCAGCCTGTCCCCTGATTTTATCCAGGTACTCCCTGCTCAATGACCATCCTATTCCCTCAGAATAGCCTGGTAAGATGGTGTACAAAGACGTGGTGAATGAAATCACATAGAATCAAGTACATTCTATTCAGACCCAGGGCAACTCATGGATGAAAGGCACCTTAGTCCTGGGCATTAGGAAGAAAGGGCAATTTTATCCCTTATTCTGAGGTAATAAAGTTTTCAGAATGTTTATTTACTCAGCCACACAGGGATCTTGTGGCATTTTTTTTTTCAATAATAAAACACATAGTGTAGGAACTGGAGAAGGTAGATTGGAGACATGAATCAGACTCAGAGGTGGACCAGGTAATCTCTAAGGCCTATGCATTTCCAATTCTTGACAGTCAATGGTTATCAAATTCTGTGGCCCTAGTACACTATAATCTGAATAGAATTTGGACTTCGGAGACTCCGCATTCCTTTACCCTCATATCCTATATGTCAAATTGCCTGATTGTGATATCCCGGCTCTCTAATCTCATGACATTCCAATATTCCAGCCTAGTTTCTTTCAATCATTCTGGGATCCTTGGGAGAAGTAAGGAACTAAGTGCCTTCCAGAACTTGAAAATGTCTTCTAGGACAGCTACCAACTGCCCCACAGAAAACAGAAGGCAAGCAGAATCAGAGACAGCAATTGGTTACCCAGAGTACCGGGACATCCAGTGCATGCAGCCTTCAGCCTACTGACCCATCATCAGAACCAGTGGGGCTAGAGCAGAATCAGACTATGATAAGATTTGAACTTGATGGAAGGGGTGGAAGGAGAAGCTAGGTATAGTCCACCACACTGAGCCATTAACAGCATTTGTGATAATTCCAACTGCAACGGTTGGGGATATAGTCAGTGATATAGCATTTGCCTAGCATCCTAGCATTAAGTACCACCTAAGGAAGGAAGGAAGGAAGGAAGGAAGGAAGGGAGGGAGGGAGGGAGGGAG